GTCAGCCTGAAGAACGCCAGGCTGATAAGCAGCCTCCTGGCCAGCCCCCAACCTACCGGATCATGCAGAGGCTGCTGCTGAGGTGCACTGTGTGTCTAATGATAAGTTCGGCTCAGCTGCATGGAGACATCTTGGTGCTCCCTGGAGCAGGACAAATAAGGAATTAAAATGGGACTGCACTCCGAAGTCAGGGCTGATTCACCGAAATTGGGACAGTTGGAAGCACTGTGAATAATTGATATATAGGAAAACATTGTTAGATCTGGTAACAATAACAGATAACCGTGTTGCCCCCTAAAAGTCTGTTAACTAGACTTCCCATGATGCTCAGCTAGCCATAAAGGGACACTAAATACCAAAAGTATCTCAATGCAGTGGTTCTGGTGCATAGTCGCTGAGTGTAAAACATTGCGGTTTCTGAGAAACGTGTAAATGTTTGTCAGCGGACACACCCCTAGCAGCTGTCGGACCGACACACTAATAATAATTAGTCTTTACAACAATTGATTTTCCAAGGACGTCGCAACGCAGAGCCAGTATGGTAAACTCTATGGAAGAAAGGTTTCTATATATATATCAGAGTTTATGAGGGGACTGTCAGAGTTTCTGAAAGGTCTATATATATTTATATATTGTAATCAGAGTTGACAAAGGGTCTATATATATTTATATATATTAATCAGGGTTAATTAAAGGTTTATATATATTTATTAATCAGATTTAATGAAAGGTTTATATATATTTATATTTTTTAATCAGAGTTAATGAAAGGTTTATATATATTTATATTTTTTAATCAGAGTTAATGAAAGGTCTATATATATTTATATTTTTTAATCAGGGTTAATTAAAGGTTTATATATATTTATATTTTTTAATCAGGGTTAATTAAAGGTTTATATATATTTATATTTTTTAATCAGGGTTAATTAAAGGTCTATATATATTTATATTTTTTAATCAGGGTTAATTAAAGGTCTATATATTAATAATTTTTAATCAGGGTTAATTAAAGGTTTATATATATTAATATTTTTTAATCAGGGTTAATTAAAGGTTTATATTTATATTAATATTTTTTAATCAGGGTTAATTAAAGGTTTATATATATTTATATTTTTTAATCAGAGTTAATGAAAGGTCTATATATATTTATATTTTTTAATCAGGTTAATTAAAGGTTTATATTTATATTAATATTTTTTAATCAGGGTTAATTAAAGGTTTATATTTATATTAATATTTTTTAATCAGGGTTAATTAAAGGTTTATATATATTTATATTTTTTAATCAGGGTTAATTAAAGGTCTATATATATTTATATTTTTGTCAAGGTTAGTAAAGTCCTATATAACTAATATGAAATTTTTAATCCAGGAATTTAATTAAAGTTTATATATATGTATTTTTTAATCAAGGAGGTTAGTAAAATTTATATTTTTTAATCAGGGTTAATTAAAGGTTTATATATATTTATATTTTTTAATCAGGGTTAATTAAAGGTCTATATATATTTATATTTTTTAATCAGGGTTAATTAAAGGTCTATATATATTTATATTTTTTAATCAGGGTTAATTAAAGGTTTATATTTATATTAATATTTTTTAATCAGGGTTAATTAAAGGTTTATATTTATATTAATATATATTTATATTTTTTACTCAGACTGCTCCTACAAGGGATGGACGCTATAGCTGTAGCAACTGCTAAATCCATGGCAACAGCCCCACCCTCCCAAACTCCGCCCCCTCTCCCTGTGCTCCGGAAACGGAAGTGACGTTACGTCCCTGACTCTGGAGCTGCGTGAGCACGCCGGACGTGAAATCTGGTTTTCCTCTGTGGAGGCGGGCTTGCCGAGCGGAAGTGACGCAGGGCTGCCCCCGCTGTGTTTTGGTTGTGACAGGAGAGGGAGGCTCGGCTGTTCGAGCGTTGGTTCCGCTGTCTCCGAGTGACTAGATATCGGTGACTCAGGTACGGCCTGTGCGAGGCCCCAGGGGGCCGCTCGTTCGGATACCGGGGGGAATATCCCGAGCTAACAGAGGGGGAGACTGGGGGACACAGAGAGAACTGGGGGGAGCAGAGACTAGAGACACAGAGAAGCTAGGGGCACAGAGAGAGCACAGAAACAGAGAACTAGAGGACACAGAGAGACTGAGACACAGAGAACTGGGGAGACACAGAGAGCTAGGGGACACAGAGACTGGGAAACAGAGAGGAGACTGGGGAACACAGAGAGAGAGCTAGAGGGACACAGAGGGAGCCTGGGGACACAGAAGGAGACACAGAAACAGAGAGGGCTAGGGGACACAGAGGAGATAGAAACAGAGAGAGAACTGGGGAAGAAGGGAGACTGGGGAGACACAGAGAACTGGGGAGACACAGAGACTGGGGAAGCAAAGAGAACTGGGGACAGAGAGAGCTGGGGACAGAGGAGACTGGGAGAGAAACAGAGAACTGGGAAACAGAGGAGAGACTGGGGAGGACAGAAGGGAGACTGGGGGACAGAGAGGGGAGACTGGGGACAGAGGGAGACTAGGACACAGAGAGGGGACTGAAACAGAGAGAGGCTAGGGGACAGAGACTAGGGACAGAGGGAGACGGACAGAGAGAGGGAGACTGAGGGACACAGAGAGGGGACTAGAGGACGAGAGGGGAACTGGGAAACAGAGGGGAGACTAGGACAGAGGAGACTGGGGGACACAGAGAGGGGAGCTAAGAGAGGAAACAAGAGAGGGAGACTGGGGACAGAGAGAGAGACTGGGGACACAGAGAGGGAGACTGGGGGACAGAGAGGGGAGACTGGGGGACAGAGGAGACTGGGGACAGAGAGGAGACTAGAGTACAGAGAGAGGGGACTGGGGAAACAGAGACTGGGGGACACAGAGAGAGAGACTGGGAAACAGAGAGGGAGGGCAGGGGACACAGAGAGGGAGACTGGGGGACAGAGGGAGACTGGGGACAGAGAGGGAGAGCTAGGGGACACAGAGAGAGGGAGACTGGGGGACACAGAGAGAGGGAGACTGGGGGGACACAGAGACGGGGGGACACAGAGAGGGAGCTGGGGGAAACAGAGAGGGAGACAGAGAGAGAGGCACAGAGAGGGAGCTGGGGAACAGAGAGGGAGACTGGGGGACACAGAGAGGGAGACTGGGGGACACAGAGAGGGAGACTGGGGGACACAGAGAGGGAGACTGGGGGACACAG